TGGCAACTAAACAGAGAAATCCCCAAAGTTTAATTACACATTTTGGTTTTCACTTTCTGTAGATGGTGTGAGAATGTTATACTGCACATCCTTCATTATCTTAGTAGAAACAGTACAGTCATATCTTGAAGTTCCTGCTAGTTAAGTGCCTAAGGGCAGGAACCTTTTCAGAAGGACACCTATTTTGGTACAGTAAATAAGCCCAGTAGGGCATCTAAATAGTTGTCAGTACTGACAGGTTTTGTGATTCATTTTTTTTTAAATGAAGGCATCAGTGATGTAATTGCAAACTCATCTCTGCTCCATTCCTCCTCCTTTATAACTAACACTTCCTGCCTCTTTGCTCTATTCCGTCATTTGTTCTGCGAGCACAGGCAGCAAGTGAAGTGCTGGGTACTAAGAATTCTGTCACGTTTCACTCCGAATCCCACAGCGTGCTCACAACACATTGAAAGATTATGGGCAATATGAAGATCTACACTTGTGAAAGGAGAAGTAAGAAACCAGTGTAGGCTGAGAACAAGGGGAGAGACAGCTGGGAACGGGTGGGGAAAAAATAGAGATAAAAGAACTGTGAGTGAAGGAAGAGGAGAGAGGTGGAGAAAGGCAATAAAGAAGTCAGAAAGGAGTGTTGAAGAAGTGGGTGAAAGATGAGTCCACAGTGTACTGGGCTATGTAAGGCTGGGGGGACACAGGAATGCAGATTAGAACAATGAGCTGCCTGCTGCAGTGGTTTATGAGCTCTGATTACGTGCTTATATAGTTAAACACAAAATAACGTATTTGCTTAACAATACAAAAAGAGAGAAAAGCAAGGAGTGGGTGGAGGTTTGATAACTTTTTGGATTAGTAATGGTATTTAGAGCCTGTTGCCAGCTCAAATCTAGCAGTTTGATAGTTTTAACAATCTGGCAGCTGTTTACCTGTGTGGAATGAGTTGATGAGACAGGGCCAGAGAGAACCTGAGAGAGGCAGGGCAAAAAAATAAATAAACCATGGGATAAGAGAAACTCCTTCTCCAATCTCAATAGTACGAAAAGCAGTGTAATCATTCTGTTCTACAGAGCTCTGTAGATAGCAAATGAGATTAGGGAAAGAAAGCCTGACAACCACTGCATGATATATGAATTAATAGGGAGCCTGGGATTTTACAAAGGGATGTTCTGAACAACCTGCACCCAGCCCCCTGCTTTCAGATTTTATAGATGTAATTATCCCAAATAATATGAATAGTCGGGGCATATTTCAATCATAGGTTAGAATCTGAATTTTAACTGTTCTTAAACTGTTTACACTTAGCTTGTTCTTATACCGCTATTCATTTGAGTCACGCAACTTATGCCTTATTTATATGCAGTAACTCCTCACTTAAAGTCGTCCCGGTTAACATTGTTTTATTGTTACATTGCTGATCAATTAGGGAACATGCTCGTTTAAAGTTGTGCAATGCTCCCTTCTAACGTCGTTTGGCAGTCGCCTGCTTTGCCCACTGCTTGCAGGAAGAGCAGCCCGTTGCAGCTAGCTGGTGGGGGCTTGGAACCAGGGTGGACCGGCAGCCCCTCTATCAGCTCCCCGCTCCCCTAAGTTCCCTGTGCAGCAGCTGCCCAGCAGGCTATCAATTACCGGGCAGTTCAGCTGTCCCTCCCCCCACTGCCATGTGCTGCTCCTGCCCTCTGCCTTAGAGCTGTTCCCAGAGACTCCTGCTTACTGTTCAGGGGGGGAAGGGGAAGGGCTAAAGTTAGGGTGTCCCCCTCCCCCCTGCTCCTCCACCCCGCTTACCCCTTCTCCATATAGAGCAGGGAGGGGACATGGACGGAGAGAGACATAGAGAGCTTGGGGCAGCAGCTGCTGTCTCAACTTCCTGATCCACTTAAAAAGACAATGCACTTAAGAGTGGGTCAGCTTATTTAAAGGGGCAGTGTGCATTTCTCTCTCTCTCCCACACACAAGGTGTGTGTCTGTCTCTGTCTGCTATGCTGTTTCCCCTCCCTCCTGTTCATGCTGCCTTGTGTGAGAGGCTACATTAACAACAATGTGTTAACCCTTGAGGGCTCAGCCGAGTGCTAGTTCTTCATTTAGCAGCAAGACATTCCCTGGGAAATATCCTTCCCTCTTCCACCCTCTGATTCCACCACCTCAACCAAGCTCCACAATCATCTTAGCTGTGAACAGCATTAAATTGTTTGTTTAAAACATATACTGTGTGTATATCTATATAATATATAGTTTTTTGTCTGGTGAAAAAAATTTCCTGGAACCTAACCTCCCCCCCCCATTTACATTAATTCTTATGGGGAAATTGGATTCGTGTAATATCGTTTCGCTTAAAGTCGCATTTTTCAGGAACAGAACTACAACATTAAGCGAGGAGCTACTGTACTTCATATACTTTAGACTAACTGTTATCTGGGAACTTCATTCTCTAACCCATGGGACGCATGTTGGAATAAATGTCTTCCTTGCCTCATGAGTCTGCTACAGTCTCCAGGGAGTCCTTCATCAGGGTGGCATCTCAATGGCCACACCCACCACAAGGGGCCACTGTCAGTGATCCTCCTGCCCTGGGCTGCAAGAGTCATTCTCCTTTCTCCAGCAGGACTTGAGGGAATGAGTTCTGAGCGTTCCCTGTTGCAGGGCTTTAATGGTGAAGCTATGCACCAGGGAACTCTTCTGCCTCCAGTGGTCACGTAAGTAGCTGGATGCACACGCAGTATCACCCACAGTTCTGCTCTGCAGTGAGTTGTTCAAGGCCTTTTTGAAAAGAGGTCACAGGTTCAGTGGAATTTTAAATGGTCTGTGCAGGGGAGGTTGTTGGTTTTTTTTTTTTTTTAGAAAGTAAGTAAGTTTAGGATTTACCTGATAGTGACAATATCTCCATAAGGAAATGTTTAATGTCATCAAAGTTCTACTTCTGGGTCCTAATGGTTTTGTTAAACTTTACAGTTGACACAATCCATGATCAATATGTTAAAGTAGACCTGGACCTTTGGATCGCACTCTGTCCATAGCCTAGATGGGGGGTGAAAACATGGTTTTGTCAAAAGGAAAAAGAAGCTACTGTATAAACCATGTAATTTACAAGGATCTGGGTTTCGAATTATACAACTTAGACTGGACTTCAGTCAAGGAGTTCTTGCCTTGTTTCTGCTTCTCAGTAATTAATGCACTAAGGAACTGACCTTGGCATAGTTCATCCGGATGAGAAATGAGCTGTGTTTTGGACATGGGGTCCTAAAACATGGCAAGAGCTTATCCCGGTATAAGATGATAATTCTTGTAATGGAGGTCTAGTGACTAAGGAGGGTGTTTGTCACTTCAGCAATCTTTGCCAAGTCAAGGTCAAAGAAATTGCTGTGTTGCCTGAAATGTAAGCACCTTCATTCATATGCCTCATGTGTTATAATTTTCTGGACCAGTTGTGACGTTACCAGAGAAGAGGGGTCTGAGTCAAAAATGTCAGTCAGATATGGAGCTGGGGTAAAATTTTCAAAAGTGACTTAGGCACGTAGGGACCTTGTTGACTTTCAGTAAGACTTAGACTTTGAAGTGCCCAAGTCACCTTTGAAAATGTAAACTAGGTTCCTAAGTCACCTAGATGCTTTTGAAAATTTTACTCCTGGACTTCTCCAAAGTTCAGTGGGTGTTTTGCTCCAGGGTTTAGATTTAGGCCTTTGTATATATTTAAACTTTTTGATTTGGTCAGTTAAAACCATGCTGTACAGGATAAACAATAATGTTCCCTCTATACCTAGTTTGCTGAGATTTTAGATGTTAAGATATGAGATTCTGGGACAGGCATAAAATGCATCCTCCTTTTTGCTCTATAGGAGCAATAACCCTGTCCTTTCCTTAGAAAGATGGCCCGTTAGTTCACAAAAGCAGTATTCTCCATTTCATATTTGTATTGCTTGTAAGACTTCACTACTTTTTAATAAGGTCATATTCCTTGCCTGTGTGTCCAATATTACCAGTTTACTCTATATTCTAGTGCTTTGGGAATTTCATATTCCAAGCCACTTACTGTACTATAAGTAAGAACTTCCACAGAAGCTCTGCTGGTGCCAGGTATGCTAAGATATTATTGCATTATGCTGATTTACTGTGGAGGCTGAGATTAATTTGATCTATTCAGGTAGCCTAGGGAGGTTGTGGAATCTCTTTCATTGAAAATTTTTAAGAATAGGTTAAAGAAACATCGTTAGGCATGATCTAGGTGTGCTTAATCTCCTCTCAGCAAAGGGGGATGGATTAGATGACCCCTTGAGTTCCCTTCCAGATTCAATGATTCTTACATTGATTTTACTGCAAATGCTCTCATGGGAAAGAACATGCTTTGGGGAAATTAGTGGCTAAGTAACTCCTGCTTTACTGGATATTTTCTAAGCATTTTGCTGAGACATTTCAGTAACTATGGGTGCCATCTTGTCCCATTGATTTCAGGTTGATACTCATATGAGTATAAGAGTCTGCTACCTTGGGAATTTTAAGTTTTAATTGAAACACCCCAAATTGAAAAGTTTTCAGCTGAAAACTAAACACTTTTTGGCTGAAACCCCAAAAAGTTCAGTTTTGAGATTTAAAGTCTACATTTTCTCTGGAAAATTTAGGCAAAAATTATTTTTTTCACTCTCATGTATATTTTCCTCCAAAAAACAAAACTTCCAACCAACTTGAGTGTTAATGTTACCAGCTGTTTCAAGAAAAACCAAGAATCCTGAGCTTGACAAGTAAAATTAGATTAATTTCACCCTTAGGAATGAAAAACTATGAAATAGATTACAAGGTGGTTTCACTGTGTGTAAGTCGAGGCAGAATTTTACCTCCCTGAATTTTGATATCTAGATATCAGTAATCTACCATACTAGTATTTCTTCTAAATCTAAATGTAATACTTTGGACAGCAGGAAACAAACTAAAATAAAAGCAATTTGAAGTATGCAACATTATTTTCAGATGCTTCTCTTTTTTTCGTAATCATTTTATTTCATTTTTTTTGACAGATGATGATAATGAAGAGGAGACTGAGATAAATGAGGATACAGGTGTGTGAACATGTTTGTCAAAAACATACTTCTGCAAATTATAAAAGAGTTTGAGAAACAGCTTAAATTAATCACATGACCATGGTGAACCTTGTTACTAGGTTCTATAGTCGTCATCCATTGTAGCCCATTAGTTTGTAATTATGTTTCTTATTAACAACTAGTTTGAACATGAATGGGAAATAATTAGGATTCCACAGTTTAGTTATTTTACTAAGGTGTGACTGTAGAGCAACCCTGGGGGACTTGCATTTGCACATTTCCATTCACTGATTCTGTGTGTTTGTGTGTGTGCGTGTGTGTAGTCATTGACTGTGTGTGTGTGTGTGTGTGAGAGAGAGAGAGAGAGAGATACTTCTGAGTTGGCAGGACACATTTATGGTATTTTGGCCTTCTGAGTTTATTACCTGTATGAATAATTATTGTTGTTCTCTGCCTAGTGCATTGGATGGAACTTTTATAAATACGAATATGTATGGTATTGTGTCGGATGTACAAAATATACATGTGCAAAAGCACACAGTGGCCGTTAAAAATTCAGCACTTGCTGACAGGTATCATACTGTTGTATTTTTGATACCATGATTGTTTGATACCTGGGGGATGGATAGCTCAGTGGTTTGAGCATTGACCCGCTAAACCCAGGGTTGTGAGTTCAATCCTTGAGGGGGCCACTTAGGGATCTGGGGCAAAATCAGTACTTGGTCCTGCTAGTGAAGGCAGGGGGCTGGACTCAATGACCTTTCAAGGTCCCTTCCAGTTCTAGGAGATAGGATATCTCCATTTATTTTTATTTTTATTATTATTATTATTCTATTCTAACCTCTCCAAAAAACTGTGATATCTCCAATTTCACTTTTTATTGGAACCAGTGCATATGTATGTATATTAACTATATTGTTTAGATTTTGGGAGGATTTTTCATTTATAAATATGTACATTACATTAATTTTTAAAAGTATCTAATAGTAGAAATTAAAAATAACTTTTCCACTTTATAGCCAGAATAAGACTCTTAGTATCAGTTCTTTTGTCTTGCTTCTTTTGTAACCCCATTAAATTAAATGAAGTTACCACATGGGTTACATACATTGCAAATCACAACATATCTGCTCCTGTGTGGATTTCAAGCAAATAAGATCACTGCTTCTCTCACGGGGTGCTGATGGGGTACCACATATTCAGCACCTTATGTTGCTTGGTGCCCTATCACGGAGTTATATTTTGAGAATCAGATGTTGGATGTGCCATTAGTACTTGTGTGGCCAAAGTTTAGTATCCTTCATATATCCTTTAGCAGTAGAGAGCGATGCCATTTTGACCCATTAGTGTAAGAACTTAATATTAGTAAGGGACATTTGCATAAATGTCATAAACAGATGAGTTCTGCATTAAGGGGAGAGCTCTGTTTATGGTAATTTAGTCACCAGGCTGAAGAGTATCTGCTCTTAAATGCTTTGTGGGAAAAGTTGATTAATCTGTGTTTAAATAAGGTTGCAACTGCTATTTGCCACTTTCAGTCGCTAATGAATAATCATTTTTCATTCCACTTGACTTCGTGAGGTCATGACTCCCAGACAGAATCAGTAGCTGAAGCCAATATTGATGATCCTGAACTGCTGAGCCATTCAGATCTAATCTGTTCTCAAAGCTCATCTTTGGGTTGTTTCTCTAATGTTTCAGCCTTTAAAACTTCTGGGATTCCTGGAGCGTGCAATAGCAGGCCATCTCATGTGGGCTCTTTCAATCTGGAGACTCAGTTCTAATTAAAGACAGTTGCTAAGGCTAATAGAAAAAGTTCAGATCCTCACTTAGGGCCTGATCTGGTGTTCATTGAAGTCAGTGGACATATTCCCACCGACTTCAGTGGACACCAGATCAGGCCTTTGGAGCAGCTGCAGGAATCAGCCATAAGTAAGGAATAGCAGATGGTCAAATGTGTAGTTTATGGGGAGATGAACATGCTGAGAGTGTATTCTCTGTCTTATGTCTCCACCACCCAGGAGTGTGCATATCTTATTACATTTAGAAACTCTGTTCTTCATAATTTTCTTTTTAAGTAAACAGGGGGATGTTTTAATTGCATGTGTCTCAGATGATCTCCAGTGGTATCTGCTGATAACACTGTATTAAGCGTAGCTGGCACTGATGAGCATTACTGTGAGTTATGACACTGGAGAAGAGTATCTCCAGTAAGTTAGGAAACAATATCTGTATTTTAAAAATACCCTATTCTTAAAGGAGACACTCAAAATCAGCCCTCTAATGGCATTTAATTAGTATTTTTTAGATGATCGGTTTATTTTTCAGGATGCAGCATCTTGTAACAGTTGGTAGCACACTGTTATGTTCAACTCAGAGTGCTCTGATGTTATCATATTTCATTCAGTCTGCTGTCAGAATGGCTGAGTCAAAAGGGCAGCTAGAGTAAACGCTGTTGCAGATTTTTGCCGTTCAGTATCTGATATGTCCTTTATCTGAGAATTATATCTTGCACTGGCAGAGGGAAAGACTAAGTGATCAGATAGATTTTGTCCATCTTTAACTGACGTGATTTAATACTGCAGTGCCATAAGGCTTATCATTTTATACCACATTAATGAAACATTATTGTAAATCTTCACTTTTGGATTACCTGGCTTTTGTATATGTTTTCAGACATATAGGAAGGCAAAAATACCTGTAATGCTACCACAGTTATGCTCAATGATGGCATATGCAAATTATGCAGCCATGTGCTATTATGGGAAGCATAGTTCTGTAAATACATATTCCAGCACTGTAACATAAGGTTTATTCCCCAGAGCCAAAGTTAATTTCCTTAGTATTTGGGGTGAGGGGAACAAAAACACACAAGCAAGTCTCCCCCAGTATTCAATTTCCAAAACCTCTTTAGACCCGTAAGTGTCCTGCTCTCCTTCAGCTGTGAAAATCTTCCCAACCTAACCACACCCCTGCTCTAGCTACCAAAGCAATTGGACCTTATTCCAGTGATAAGCCCCTTGTCTGCCATGTTTCCTGTCAACCCTTCCTGTTACATACCCAAAGTAAATGTCCTACCAGTTATCCCATCTCTCCACCAAGGGTGCAACCTGCCTAGTCCCACCCAGCATCAGAAACCTTCCCTACCCAATATTCCCCACTCACACTAACTTTGAAACCTTTCTGTAAACTATCTCACCTGAACATCAACTATCAGATTGCACGTTCTAATATATACATGTGCGTATGTCGGGGCACTTCATCTTAGATGGGAGCTTTTTCTCTGACTGAGAGGAAAATGTCAGGCACTTTGTCACTGAGCAGGATTTGTGAATGTTTTGGGAGCTGGGAATGGCCTCCCTGAAGTGGCATATTGGCCTTGTGGGTTTGACCCAGGGAGAATAGCCATTCCCCAAATATTATTGTGCGTAAATACCTTTTTGCATGAATGCTCACAAATAATAAAGGGTACAAAAGTGGTTAAATTGAACAGCCATTCAAAACTCAAATAAATGGTTGTAAGCACTGTTTTTTGCCATTCTTGACCAGCTCTGTTCATGATATGTGGTATGTCTCTGCAGAACTGAAAGGATTAAGATTTATTTCTTGGCCATAACACAAATACACATTTTTGAAGCTTACAAAAATCCTGTTCAGTCTTTGGAGTGAGGGAAAATCTACTTGTCTGGTAAAAAGCAATGAAATTGTATATGAAATCACATTCTCCTGAGATGGTTCCTCCACATCCTTTTTGTGAGCATTTTAAGATTCTTTCAATAACGGAAAAACACTGTTCCTTTGGCAATAGTAACTGTTCTAACTTCTCCCAGTGCAAGATCCCTCATCCCCCCCCACCCCCATCTTACTGCAGTCAATTAAGACATTAGATATATTTTCTGATGTATTCAGAGACTCTAGGAAGACCTAGCCATGTTATACATGGATACTTAACACTAAAACTTGATTGGCATTTGATTTTTGAGACTAGAGGAAGCCTCACAGATCGATTAGATGATAACTTCATTTTCAGAGGGGAGAATGGTGATTGAAATATTCATATTGATTTGGTCTCCTAGAGTGAAGCATTGCCAAGCCAAAAAGGGAAAACAGCAGCTATCATATGGGGGCATTAGAGCCAGACAGGCCCCGCATCAATACAGTTCATTATAAATACTCTTTTTTTTTTTTAAAGGAATGGCAGAGGGGCAGCAATCAATCTTTAAAATCTGACTACTTCTATCCTTCGTACTAACCACATGTGTTGAACATGGCCATTGCTTCTGACTGACTCTAGGTAGACTGAATAGCTGAGTCGTTTTATCTCCCTAATATTTATTCCCTGTGGTTGAGTTTGCATGTCCACCAGCCAAGGAAGAGAGAAGTTGATTTTAGCACTCCAAGGATCTTAATTTCATATCTTCTTTTCAAAATCTAGTATTAAAATTTCCAATTTAATTGATCACATCTGCTGGCAGGAAACACAGTCTTCTGTCAAGTGGTTAACCTTTAGAAAGGAAACGTCCAGTTCCTGAGATCAAGCAAATCTGGGGATGTTTTCATACTGCAGTAAATTGATGAATACAAGAGTCCCTTACAATGGGAAGATATAGAAACAATCACCAATTTGAGGTTTTGTTGAATTAACTATTAGTGTTAATTCTCTAGAATTGTGTTTAATACAGGTCTTCATTTTAGAATATTTCCAAGCATTATGGGCTTCTACTGCCTGTAACTTACAGTCGGACTCAGAATTTGGTGAGTCTTATTGCCACATTTAAGTATGGTATGCTGCAGAAAGAACAATGTCCCAGCTAAGCAGGTGGAGAGAGTTCTCCCCTTCCGCAGGCTTCTTGGTGAGGCCAAGGGCTTGGTGAGGGCCAAGTGGGACTGTAAACACCCAGCCAAATCTTGACTACTGCTCAGAGGTAGCAAATCCTATTCCCAAATCCTGACGAATGAGTAGAGAAGTGCAAGCTTTTCCCCACAACCTGGCTTTTTGCAGTTTGGAGGTGCATGTGGCTAAATAGATTGAACTTCTTGAGTCTATCACTATCAGACTCTGAACTCTTTCCAATTTATCAACATCCTTAAATCGAGGGCACCAGAACTGGACACAGTCTTCCAGCAGTGGTTGCACCAGTGCCAAATAGAGAGGTAAAATAACCTCTCTGCTCCTACTCAAGATTCCCTTGTTTATGTATCCCAGGATCTCATCAGCCCTTTTGGCCACAGCATCTCACTGGGAGCTCATGTTCAGCTGATTATCCACCATCCCCCCCCCCCCAAAATCTTTTTCAGAGTCACTGCTTCCAAGGATAGGGTCCCCCAGCCTATAAGTTAGTACAGTGAGCTGGAGAGGCTTGATGCATTTATTCACGTAGAGCTACGCTACTGGTAAGGTGAAATTAGGTTGAGAGTGCACATGTATTAATAGTTTCTAAAAAGTCTCCTTTTTTCTATCAACAAGTCTCACTAACAATCAGTTTACACTTTCGGGTCTAGCTCTGCAAGGAAAAGAACTTGAAACGTACTTGGGTTTTTTTGTTGTTGTTTTGTTTTTAAAGCAACAGCAGAGGGGCCAGTTTTTCAATAGAAATCAGCACCCAACAGCTCCCATTAGGCACCTAAATGAAACGGCCAGATTTCCAAAAGGGCTCAGCGCCTCTGGAGAACAACATGAGCTGCTGGGTGCTGACCCCTTTTTGAAAATCTAGTCATTTCATTTAGGTGCATAAATAGGAGCTGAACTCTTAAGACCATCCAGCACCATTTATGGGTGCTGAATACTCTTAAAAGTCTGACCCTTGGTCTCCAGCAGTCATTTGGTGCACTACATTAAGGTCGTCAGACATGACAAGCCATTCTGGATACATCTACACAGCAATTAAACACGTGTGGATGGCCCAGCTCAGCTGACTCAGGCTTGCAGGGCTGTAAAATTGCTGTATAGACATTCGAGATTCAGCTGGAGCCTAAACGTCCTACACAGCAATTTTACAGCCCTGCGAGCCCGAGTCCCCCAAGCCCAAGACAGCTGACCCAGGCCAGTCACAGCTGTGCCATGTGTCTTTTATTCCAGTGTTAGACATACCCTCAGCTGTTAATATACCAAGTCTTCACAATTTTTGAAGCTTAATCAACTAATTTTAAGTCCTCTGCACACTAGCTCTCAACTACTATAAGCAGGGCCGCCGAGAGCGGGTTTGAGCCCCGGTGAAAAAAAATTTTTGGGCCCCCCAGCAAGGGCGGACCGGCTAAACAGGGCAGACGAGGGGAGGGGAAGCCAGGCCCCGGGCCCCCTTCCGGACCGCCGGGCCCCAGCAATTTGTCCCGGCTTCCCCCCGACTCTCGTCGGCCCTGACTATAAGTGAGTCCAGCAAACCAAATTTAATCTCTTCCCTTCTTGCTGTTGTATTATGGAAAAGTGGGAAGAAAAAAATTGGAAGACTTCTTCAACTCTGAACCTTCTTATTTGAAGGAAAGCTCTCTTAATTAACTTCAAACTTGGTATCAAACTTCTACCTCTGCCTCACATCCATACTGCCAATTTTTAGGTTAATATTCCTTTGTTAGTGGATTTTGGCAATGAATGCAAAACTGGGCTGCTAACAGAAATTCTTCTTCTTGAACATATTCCTCCGCTAGTCCATAACACAGTACGATGCACATTGCTTAAAAACAGCTACACATTAAAATATTATTAAATGTTATAGATCTGAAGACAGTGAGAGTGCGAAGGCATGAATCATTTAAATATGAGCTTTATTCAAGGTTGAGCTCTCAAAGTTCAGTTTGAACCCACACACATCCATTATGGCCCCTCATACAGCATATTAGGCGGTGCTGAATCTTCCAAATGCAAGTGTAGGCATTCTGCGTTGAAAGGAATGCTGAGATAAAATATACTTATTGCCACAATCGCCTGCATATTAATATTTCATAAAATAATATTACTCGGAAATAATATATTTTGTGCTTGCAGAGGGATTGGAACAAAAAGCCCAGTCACCATCTCCCATGAAGTGCAAAGCAAAGAAATCTGAGAACCTGAAGGATGATAATGAGGGTAGGTGGCATTAAAGATCTTATTCATTGATCTTCATTTTTAAATTATGCAGTATACAGTACTTTCATTTTAAAATATCCCTACTGTCTATATTGGCTGTGCATGTGTGGTTTTTTTCCTTTGCTAATATAATTTTGGCTCTAGGTCACGGGAATGGAGTTCTAATACAGGTGTGTTTTATGTCAATGTAGATTCAAAATTAAAAATGCTGTTTTCACGTAATGCTCTACTTGTTACTGTTCCTGTAATATGGGAAATTATGGTTGTCTTTACTTGTGATATGCTCTTACATTGTGTAAGTGATGATGCCAAAAGTAATATACGTTGTCCTTGTAATAGGGTCCTCGATGGACTGGGAAGCCTAGTGGTTAGCATGCACTCCATCATGGGGCAGTGGTAGGGGATCCCAGGCCCACCCACACCCTGGTCCCTTGGAAGGTTGGCAGCGTTAGATCTGAGGAGCGGGGTTCCCACTGAGTTACCATCCCTGGCTCACTTCCTACCATGGCTTCTCTTTGCTTCTGATCCCAGATGGGGGTGGGGGAGAGGAAGAGGAAACCAGTCAGTCAGCCCCATCTGGGCTCAGCATACAGTCCTGGTACTTCAGGGAGGCGCCTCTAGCCCCATTTGGCAAGAGCCTTCCGGGTAGGTCTGTACTCCTCTCCAGCCTTCTGAGCTGTGTTGCTCCCTTTTCAACCCTGTCTCCAGTTGGAGCATGGTCTCCAGGGTTGGAGGGGTGGGGTTATCTGGACCCAGTACTGTCCTTTAACCCCTTCCATCCCAGTGTGGGGCTTGTATACCCCATCACAGTTCTGTTGGGTTCACTGTTCAGATAAGTGCACTGTTTACCAAAATATTTCCTTTCTGGAAGAGAATTTAGTATATATATTTACACATTAATCATGCAGATAAAGCCCCAGTTCAGAAAAGCCCTTATGTAAGTGCTTAAGTCCATCCCTATTCAGGGAAGCACTTAAGAAAAAGTTTAACTCTAAGCACATACTTATGTGCTTTCTTGAGAAGGATTGTGTTCCTGAACTGAAGCCTATAGGGGGAAGGTAGTCCATGTGCGCAGAGGTACTAGAATCTATGGTGCTGAAGTGATGCCATTCTAATATTGGATCAAAGTGCAATAATTTTAGGTGGACTGACATCTCATTCACAGAGTTTCCCATTGAAGACCTTCATGCCATAAAGATTTGTAGTCTAATAGATTTTCATATTGTAGATTTTCATGTTGTTTTGGGATGTGCTCCTCAGAAGAATGTTTACTTGTTATTGAGTGCCCTCATGATGAGATAATTAATATGGGGAGCCTTAATCCTTTATTTCCATGATAGTTTCTTATCACAGGATCCCTTTGACCCAATGTTCCCAAGATGACATGTTTCACTCTCCACCTAACCCAATTACTACATGATCTTCATCACTCTGACTTAGTGCTGCAAGGAGTGCTCCTAAAGTACCCTGGCTGGGGCATATAGCATGAATCATAAAGCCCAGAAAGATAACATCCTTCACTTTAAGTAACTGCCAGTAACATGCTGTCACTGACATCCTGACATGGTTGTTAGTGGCAAGTACTTAAAGCAATGGATGTCATCACCTTGGAGGTGTGGAGGGATCTAAGAAATCTTTTCCTAACTGGCCTTCTTTCTCATTAACCATGCACTGAGGCCACCTAAAAATGCAGTAGCAATTTCATGTCTTGAGGAGAGAACTTTCACAATGGCAAAATAAATGCATCCATTTGGATACAGGCTGACCGCTTTGGAAGATCATAGAGAATTGAAGCCTGATGTCATTTTCCCTAATGAGGATAAACAATCATATATATTACCGTATTTTTTTGCTTGGGGAGTGACTAGAACTTAGCATTGTATGAGAGATAAAAATAAAGAAAAAAGTTGGATGTTGTAAACCCCTGTTTTTCCCTTTCATTGGAAAGAGAGATGATAATATTCCTTTAACTGCTTTTGTGCTGTACCAGATGAGACCTTCCAGTTTTACTATTCTTGTCAATGTTTCTTCATGACCTACAGTTCACTTTGTGGAACACAAATAAATGCATTGGAAGAGTGAAGTAAATAGCATGGCAGGAGAATGATTACGTTACCCTGGAACTGTAGAATGTTTGGACTCCTTGAATTTGATGCTGTTCTGTGGATTTTGCTGATGCAGAATTGAGGCCTGTAACACATAATCACTGCTGCAAAATTTAATCTATTTGGTGATGGAATTCTCTTTTCCTTAGGCAGAAATCAGGTTGTAATGCATAAGGGCTGAAAGTCTAAATTTATACTCAAGAGTCCTTGTGATGGAAAAAAGTAATTAAAGCATCCACAGAGGGGGAAGGGCAGAGTGGGAGAGAGAGACTCTGGATCAGATTTCTATAGAATTACCTTTGCCTCAGTTTAAAAGAGATGTCAAATAGTTTAGGCCCCTGATACTGAATTCCTAAAAACTTGCAAAGTGGCCAGATTGTAATGTAACACCCTGTGAGCCATTGCAATGTAAGTAACTAGGGTTTGCACACATTTGTCTGAGAACAGAGTTTAGCCATAAACTAATGATCTAATTACTACCTAGTATGTTGTTTCTAATTAATTAAAAGAAATCTTATGGCAAGGCTTGCAGATGAACAAAGCTGTGAATACGTGGCATGATTCAGGATTGTGCATATGCATAGCTCTGTTTATATACTGCACACTCATTAGAGGGAAAATATTATTTTCCCCAAGCTGGCATCACCAATAATAATAATGAACCATAGAAACCACAAGAAGAGTCTATGTAAATTTCAAGTTCTGTAGGATTTTGTCCTGTACTAAGTGTCCATTTAAAATAAAGGTGGGAATATGTAGCGAGGCCAAGGTTTACTCTTAACAGCCTACTGACTCTACCCTCAGTGCATGTCCCCAGATGGCAACCTGTAATACTGATCCACTGAGCTCAGTAATATTTTTCTACAATGTGCCCAGCTGCTTCACGGGTTTGAGCTAGTGTAGTAGTACCTTTTCAGTACATCTAAAATCTCTCCAGAAGATCATGGGAAACTGATTCCTGTATCGTTACCCCCTCTGCAATGAAGGAATGTCAAATCAATGGTTGTTTGTAGGGAGTTTGTTTTCTAGTAAGCTAAAATATATATTTGGCATGCTAATGAAAGTAATTTTATACTGGTTTCAGAGTAGCAACCATGTTAGTCTGTATCCGCAAAAAGAACAGGAGTACTTGTGGCACCTTAGAGACTAACAAATTTATTTGAGCATAAGCTTTCGTGGGCTACAGCCCACTTCATTGGATGTATTGAACCTCTAAAGTATTAATGGTCTCTCTTTTTATGCTACTAAAAGTATCGTTTTATATATTCGAACCATTGAGAGAGAAGCAAGTGTGAACTGCATAGCAGATTTTTCTACCAGCCATTTATTGCATTGTGTACGTGTTATAATGTAGGGTAGGTAGATCATTATTTGGGAGTTCAGGAATAGATGGGGCACTCTTTATTCTTGAACTCCCTGAAGTATTTTAACTATTGCATTTGCAAATGTCCTCTTTATATTATATATATAATTTTTTTTTTTTTTTACAATTGCACTGAGGGGTAAAATCAGCCAGTCGTCATTTTTACTTTACCATCACTCAAATGCACTCAGAGATTGGCAGGCTAAAAAAAATTGAAGTATGAAAAACAAGTTTGCCACTTCAAAAAGTGGTATTTCCTATCTTGGTGGCTTGATAAATGTAAGATTTTTAAAGTGACATTGTAGACAGCCAAGATAATGAAACTCAAAATTCCCCCAAAGACACGTGAGTCTTTTTGCTTTATTTATGTTTTTGGAATTAACTAAATCTTAAAGCTATGCCTATCCAAAGCTATAGGTACTCTTTGCCTCCATTAAAAACACAATGCAAAAATAAATACATAGGTAAAATAACAGCAAATGAAACAGACCTATCATGAATCGGCACATGTTACTCCCATCACCCTTTTCCACACAGCAAAACCAAGAACTTCCGTGTGTCTCCTCTCTAGCTCTGCTAATGGACTTATGGACACTTTGAGTAATAAGGATGAAATAAGAGAGACTTCTGGTATGGCAAGGAGGAAGAGCTGTTGCTCATCAGTTCCATCGGGGATCTCTAGGCAAAAACAGAACCAAACCACTGAAGAGCAGCCTCATTCACTCCTGCCAAGGACCTTAGATGTATGAACATGATCTCATAATATCAAAGGCAACTGATAGATCTATCAGTATCATCATGGACACCTGATCTTTCTCCATTACCAGGAGTAGATAATTAACCCATGCAAGAAGAGCCATCTTGGTGCCTTACCCAGGTCAGAATCCTGATTGCACAGAGGATTTGAAGGCATACAGGAGCTCTGAGAGTTGTCCTGCTGCAGCCTTTTCCATAATCTTTACCAAAAAGTAAAGGTTAGATACTGTTTGATAGATGGGCAAACTGTTAGCATCAAGAGACGATAATTTGAAGCCTAACCCCCATGTAAGGAGGTTCTGTGGGAATTGTGCATCTTGAATGAATTCTGTTTTCTCTTTACCTGGCTGACAAGGAAAACTGTTTGATGGATGATCCAAGTCACAAGGGTCAAGATGTACACAAATCATATTAAAAACACTAGGTTGAGGAGAGTTCCTTTGCCTGATGAGGTAATCTGACTATAGACCTCTTAGCTTTCAAGTCTAACATCATATGTCTGAAATATTGTTCAAAAGTGGACAGAGATCTAGGCTCACTGATGGATGGAAGTTCTTGCCTCCTTCAGACAGAACCAAGTGTGTGCATCACCTGTGTGTTCTCTTTTGCTTTGCAGGTACAGGAAGTTGATTGTTGACGTGCATCTAATTTTGATAGCTCTTTTGGCTCAGGAGATCTGGTAAACAGATAATTTTTTTCTAGAAAAAGATTTTTCCAGAGACAAAACTTTTGTCTCCATCAGGAGAACATTTATTACACCCACATCTAAAGTCAGT